TGGGTCTCTCCAGCCATAGAACAGTGCCTGGCGTATAGCAAGGACATATCGAACATTTGTTGGCAAAACACATAATTTTCCACTTAAAACCTAATATACTAAAATTTTTAAAATGTTATGCTAATAATTCTTTTTATTAAAACTTTATTAAAGGTTGTGGGTTTTAAATATTTGGAAATATCTCCTGAGTCGATGGGAGAGAGAGAGGAGTCCAGTATCACTTTTAAAAATCATTTTATCTTGCCTTTCTTAAATCTCTTAGGCTTTGTCAATGGTGTAAATGTGAGGCTGGGATGCATAAAAAAAAAAAAAGAAAATTGTAAGCTGTGAACTTAAATTTCATTATAAAAAGATCAATCATAACATCCAACTGTGAAAATAGAAAAATGTTCATTTCAAAATGAAACAAAAACATCATTTTATATTCAATGAGTTAAATAGGCATAAGTTAAATACCCTAGTATCAGAAAGAATTTGGACTTATAATTATATGTGTGATTGCCCATTGCAGAATCAGAGAAAAAGTTAATTATCATACTTATGACTTGCAAGATAACTGGTAATGTAAAGTAATGCAAATAAGACCCTACCACTGAGGAATAATTACTCACATATCAGATTTCTGTCTCTCAAAGTTCTTTTTTATTTCTTTGGAAAGAAATAAAAAACAATTAGAATTGACTTTTTATATTTTTATTTCATCTTTAATTTTCTAACATCCAACTCTGAATTAGTAACTCTTCATTTCATTCTGATGTAATTTTTATTGTAGATGCTACAACACAAAATTTTTTTCCTGCCCTGGATTGTGTTGGTACATTTCATTTATGATGGGCACAAAGTAACTCATGAAAATGTTCAGTACATTTCTGTTAATTATATTATCTTTCACAGCCTGGCTCTCAAAGGTCCCCTTTGGCTTGTTTTTCTTTTACTCCAAATTAAACAGCCTTTTTTTTTTTTTTTTTTTTTTTTTTTACCCAAACACACACCATGTGTGCTCTCCCATCCTTGGCTTTGCTCTCTTGCTTCTCAGAATGCCCTTCTCTCTGTCACTGTCTTTTGTAAACCTGACATTATTCTAGACCCAATTCAGTCATCAAATCATTCATTCTTTGCACAGTACTTAGTCACTAATTGATCTCTTTCTTGTTTGTTTATTACTTTGTTTATTGTCTGTCTTCCTCCTGCAGACCATAAGCCAAGTGAGAACAGGGCTTTTTCTTGTTTGCTGCAAAATCCCAGGGCCTAGAACACTGCCTAGCACACAGTAAGTACATTAAGCATTTGTTCAATGAACAAATAAGTAATTATCAAAACAGATCTAAGGATTAAATGAATAGAGTAAGATTCTCTATTTATGATTATTTTAAAAAAAGAACACAAACATTTATATTCCCAAGTATAGGTTGGCACTTCATCTTAATCTAGTGTTATTTTGACAAAGCTGTGAAAATTAAGGACGATAACATGATATCTTGAATCAGTCAAAAATAATTTCTAACACCTAAGGTTGAAAGAATTCCAGTTTGCAGGTGCTATTTTCCTCATATGACACTGTGCTTATTATATTCCACTTGTCTAGCTACATTCATTTTCTTGGTATACTAATTCTTTATGCAAACCTTCTCTTGATTTTGTTATATAATTCAAAAAGATTCAATTAAGTGAAACAGACCTTAACGTAGATTTGAATGAATTTTTTAGCAAGAACAGATTTTATATTGCAAAGTAAGTAGTTATTTTAATATTAACCTATATGGATATAGAATGGAACCAGTATTACAGTTCTTTTCTCCTTTGACCTAAATTTCCTCCATGCATTCCTCTCTTTGAGGGTAATTCAAGCATAACAAAAAAAAAAAAAAAAAAAGAGAGAGAGAGAGAAAGGCTCTATCTATCATCTATCTATCTATCTATCTATCTATACATATATACATAAACACATTATAAATACAATATAAAATATATATAATATAAAATGCTGGAATCCCTAAGTCTTCAGTAATACAAAATGAAGTATAGTATTTCTTAGTGGAAAGCACAGGGGCTCTTGAGCCTGAGTGCCACTATTCTTAAGCAAGTTGCTTAACCTCTATGAGCCTCAGTTTACTTATCTATAAAATGGGATAACAATACCTACTTTTTTGGGTTTTCAAGAGGAGAGAGAAACCAACCTAGCACCAAGCCTAGCATGTTTTAAGTGCTCAATAAGTATTTAGTGAATTAATGAATTCCATTGAAAATATAGTTACCACTGAACTAAATTATTATATATCATTTAATGAAAAATTGTAGTGGTTGTGTAACCAAATAGCTAAGATAAAAGTATAATTATGTGTTTTAACAATTCCTTGATAAATACACAATCAGCAAAGCGAAATACATATGAATAGATCAAATACATTGACTGTGATGGAATACTATGGTTAGTACAGTAGTGGTCCAGGCAATTATTCATGAGACCTAAGTATGATCACATTTCCTAAAGCTAAAGAAGAGGGTAAGGAACTTTTCTTACATCTCTGCGTGTCTAAAGTAGGAACCCACAAATACTGTTGTGGAAAGTTATTCATCTTCCATAAAAAACAAATTCTAACAGATACGCAGTGTTTGTTATTAATTTTCTACACGTACGTGGACATAAGCTAAAGGCACTGAACTTGCCACTACTAGAACAATAACTAATGAATATATGGTGATTTGTGCTTTCTTTTACTTTTTCTTTTAATCCTTACAAAAACTCTACAAAGTCAACACAGAGAGATTATGATAGAGCAAATTTTCAATTAGAGAGCTCAAGGTGTAAGTCCAGAAACATGCTCTAAAATGTTTGGTATTGGGGATACATCAGAAAACAAAAAGACAGAAAACCTAATTTCCTAGACATCACAATCTGGGATTTGTGTTGAGATAAGTACAATTATGGCTTTTAGACTTATGAATCAAGCTGCTCAAATACATATTCATAATAAAGTATGTTGTTAAAAGAACTACATTAGTGACCAACGGATTTTGTACGTTCCTTTCATCCTCAATTATTGAATGAGGTTTGATATTTTGTGCAAATCCACGGAACACACTCTGCTGTTTATTGTGTACAATGTAACTTTTTTCTGTTGTTTGATTTAGGGGATGTGAATAATGATAATCAACCAGAATTGTTGCTTCTTCCTGTCCTTTCTATGCTGCTTAGAACACTTACTGCATGGAATTCTCACAGCTTGCTCATTTTTTGTCTCCTAACCTGGACTGACCACTGTCCAGGGAAAGGGCTCGGTCTCTTCAATCTTTGTGTGGCCAGCACCTAGCATAGTGTACAGGTGGGATGTATGTTTGTTGTGTAAGTAAATGTATACGTTGTTTTCAAAGCACAGTCACATGCACAGTATCATCAGACCCTCACAAAACTCAGATTGTAGGGTAGAATTAATTCTCTCATTTTACCGAATCTCAGTGAAATGGAAGGTTATTAATTCCTCTGTTTGACAGATAAGGAAAGGGGATCAGTGAGAGATTATGTGATTTCTGAAGAGCATATAACTAAGACTTGAATTTCAAGATCAGGGTTCTTTCTTAAACACTAAATGAAAATATAGGCATATTGAACTACTATTTTAAGTACATCTTTAGGATCTACTTGGTGTATGGCCAGTCATCTTTGACTTGCTCAAATCATTGGTGAAATCTTGCTTTTTCTTTTTTTTCAAATGTAAAAAATGGGATGGAAAAGATCTTCAGAAACCACCCACATTGTAACTGGAAGACAATGAAATAGATTATATGCATATATTTTGCTGTAAAACTGTGTCTGCCTTTAAGAGTATATTGCTAGCCAAAACAATTTTGCTTTGTCATAAGGAAGGGGATGGAGGCAGCTTTGTCATTTCCAATCCTGAACCCACAGTCATCACCTTTCTGCTTATAGAAGGTTTCTATATGCTTCTTATTTTCTTGATCCGGAAATGAAAGTCCCTACAGTGGCAGGATAGTGAAAGCCATCTGTTGGGGTGAAGGGGTCACAGCCAGTATTTGGAGGTTCTAGTCATTGAATCCTGATCAACTGACTCTAAAATGATCCTTTTAATAACATCATCTCCCCCTAGACCACAGGCTACATGAAGGCAGGAACTGTCCTGAACTCCCAAGTCAGGGAGTTTAGGCACATAGCACATGGCACGTAACACTCTTATTAGTGTATTTCCTGTCACACATGTTAATTAATCAGTAAGTGGCAACTCTCAGTAACCACTGGCTAAAAATCAACCCCAAAAGTGCTAGGTACATGTTTTTCAAACTGAGTGATAGAAATTTTTCTTTGTGTGTATTTTTTTTTTTAATTTAAAACCATTTTTAAGAAGTTTGTATTTAAGGTAAATTATTTTCTAGGCAATACACTCAGGTCCTTAATGGAGACCTAGTGATGGAACCCTGGCCTTAAGTCAGTTATCCTGTATACTGTTATACCTCAACATTCCAAAAAAACTTTAACAGAAATTAACAGCAACTATAATGAAATCCTGACATTTCTGAACTAGAATCGTTTTCTCTCTAAGGAATGGGATTACTGGGTTGACAATTTCTCTTAATCTGAACAAAAATCCATCTTCCCCCCTCCCTCCTTCCCCCCATCCCCTTTCAATCTTCTCCCTTCCTGAGAGACGCACGTACACTCTGAGCATTTTATTTGAGTGGAAAGTTGAAAGAGAGCAACACACTGGCTGCACCCATCCAGCGCTCCTTGGGGTGCATAGCAAAGTTCTAGGGCAGAGCCTTCCTGCCCGGAGCCCGCGATGCAGCCGCTCTCCGCTACCTGCTCAGCTTCACGCCGCATCTGAAGGTCCGCCCGCCGCGGAGCAGTTGCGTCTCCATCTGGCTGCCAACCCACCCAAGCTTTCTTCTCCTCCACCACCACCACCTTCCCTCCTTCCCCCCTCCTCCTCCTCCTTTCCGTCTTCCCTCTCCACCCCCGCCCCCAATCGCCTCCTCTTTTTCTCACTACAAGCGGTTGCTGATGCTGAAGCCGAGCGTCACTTCGGCTCCCACGGCAGACATGGCGACATTGACAGTGGTCCAGCCGCTCACTCTGGACAGAGGTAAGGGAGCGGCTCGCCCGCCAGGCCACTGCGTCCCCTCTGCCTCCGCCTCTGCCCCTGCCAACTCCCACCGGGACAGCCGGACGCGCTCGGGCAGAGGCAGCAGGGCGAGCGAGGGCGAGCGAAAACGAACGTAGAAGGCGTTCGCGCCGAGAGCAGGATACTTTCTTCCCCTTTCTCTGCCCGCCACGTCCCCACTGCCCCTGCACGCTGCGCCCGCCCGGCCCAGGGATGCCTTCGCCGGGCTCTGGCGCCCCCGCTGCCACTCCCAGCCCCTCGCCCGGTCGCCTCCGGGCCGCCGGCTTTGTTGGAGCGGAGGCGCAGGGACCGGTAGGCGCCCGGGGCTCGGGGCTGGAGAGGGGCAGGGAGGAAGCTCGCCGTGCCGGGCGAGGGCGCCTGCAGCCGGAGACCGGGGAAGCCTGGCGAGGGAGCCGCCTGCCAGCCTGCGCGGCCCGGGGGCCCGGGAGGGAGGAAGTTTGTCCCGGCGCGGGAGGACGAAGGTCGGTCGGGCTGCGGGTGCTCAGGCGGCCGCCCGGGGGCGGAGGAGGCGCACCCCGGGGTGGCCTGTGCCGGGGCGCGCGGCGGCCGGGCTGCAGCGGCGAGGAGCTGCCCTCGGCCGAAAGGGCAACGCGGAGCACGGGCAGCAGTGCCCGGGCTGGGGGCGCAGCCTTCGCTGCAGCGGAGCCCGACTCTCCCCGGCTTCGCGCTCCGAAGGCGGCCGGGGTCTCCTCTGCCCCCGCCGCCCGCAGCGCTCCGGTGGTGGCAACTCAGTTTCTCCTGCCCCAGCCAGCCTCGTTCGTTCTCTCGCCAGCCCGGTGCCAGCGCGGTGTCCGGGCTGCGGAAGGCGCTGGGACGCAGCGCAGGCTGCCTTTGGAGATTCAACTTCTGACCCGCGACCCTGTGCGTCCTGCTCTCTGACTTGAATGGGGAAGCAGTGTTTGCTTCCTCCCAGGACCTCACCAAGCCTAAAGCTAGAATCCTCCGTTTCTCTGGGGGGCCTCTCTGGAGCGCGCGTACGAGGTTATACCTGTCCCTGCGTGTTCAGGTTTCCTTTCTGGCTTCCGACGTCTAGTTATGCGGGCGCTGGCGTCCCACGACGCCGCAGCAGAGGACACCTGCTCGTCCCCGTCCGCAGCAGCCGGATTTAGGACCCTGGGCGGCCATTTGGAAATGGTGTGCTCAGTCGAAGATGATTTAGTCCGATGTGCCTCTAAAAATATTCTTCCTAGCGGATTAAACTGGACTGTGGGGCAAAGCAAAAGAGCATCCTGCTGCGAGTACAATGCAAAAGCCAGTGAACTCAGTGGGGTTTTAATTTGGAGAGGTTGTGGATGACTTTAACGCAATCTGTTGGCGCCAGAACAGATATTATGGAGTGCCCATAGCAATCTTACTTGGGGTAAGAGTTGAAAAATAAAAACAAAAAACAAAAAAAAAAAAAAAAAGAAGAAGAAGAAGAAAAAAGTAATAATTTTATGTTGGGAAATGATTTGCAAGCTACTAAATTAATAACAGTAGAAAAAGAGCTCAGAAATCCATGTTATAATCCATGATTTCACCCCAGTATCATCATCTACACTAAGCAGGATAAATCCATTGCCACTAAGAGCCAAACAGATGGCAAGCTATTAGAAATTATGGATTTCCCACGAATTTCTGTTTTAATGTAATGAGCTCTTATATTGTCCCATTACTAAATCAGCCTTTAAATATCCCAAGTAAAACGACTACATTGGGAGAAAAAACAAACTCCAAGAAAATTGCCTACCTGAGCAATTTTATATATTAGGACTACTAAAAATATTTTACTTTCTGGATTTTACTTTAGCCCTGAGACTCCTGACTCAGTTGTGGAGAGGAAGTGCAATCAGACCTAAATCTGTTCTTAAAGTTTGTTCTTGTTCGCAGACTGTACCTGTCCTTTCCAGTGTGATTAGGTCCATTTAGTAAGTAGCTCAAGAGGCAAAATGAGACTGGATGTAACTGAATAAATTAACCAGCAGCTAACTGCAAAGTCTGTAATTTATGGATGATGAGTTATTGGCACCATTGCTGTACATGAAGTCAGTGTGTATAAATATTTTTCCCTCTACCTTATAAAAACATGATTAATTGATTAATTGCATCACTAAACCAATGAAAGAAAGGGTTCTGAAAAATGTTCCTACAAAAAAAAAATACAAGTCTGTTTAAAAAGGCAGCCCGATAATACATATCTGGGTCCTATCTGCTTATAACTGTGATACTCACTTTATATGGCTTGGTTAGTATCTCTGGGCATCAGTTTTCCTCTGTGCTCTGTAAGGAATTTGGATTAGATAATTTTAACATAGTGCAGCTTTAACAGTCTATAATTCAATTAGTTGAAATTAGAACTCAGTTTCTGGGTCATCTACTGGAAGATTTTCCAGATTAGGCCCTCTCCCAGGTTGTTTGGGTGCCCTTTGATGTGCCCAGAGGTCACCCACTGATTTGGCCCCATCAAAGCATTTCTCACATGTTGTTGCATCTATCTCCTTATTGAATGGTGCTCCTTGAGGGAAGAGACCATTTCTAAATTCATTTTCATATTCTCAGTGCCTGCCATAGTTCCTGACTCACAGGAGAAGATCAAAAATTAATGTGAACTAAGGACTGCAGTAATTTAAGCAATGTTAAAAGATAGGGATTCAGTCGTGAACCAAGGTCCAGTACATAGATTCGTGAAATTTTGGCCCTGGAAAGATGGCAGGAAGAACACAGGCCAGTGGTTCTTAACCTTTCTTTCCCCCTATGTGCTTGACAGATTCCTGTCAGTAACCATAGCTCACAGAAGCTGTGATTAGTAACCAAGAGGGGTTGGGGCAAGTAGGCAAAGGAGAAGGAAAGAAAATGCTTGACAAAGCCTCCCAAAGGCATGTCAGCAAACCTGAATGCATAAATCCATAATTTGATTTTTTTTTCTAGCATCTTTCCTTTTCAAATGAAAAACGTTGAAGAAGCTATAAGTATTTTCAAGGTTACTCTACTAGTGAGTGGGAGATTTTATGCTAAAATTTAAATCTTCTTGTTTGATGCCCTTCGGCACCATAAACCGATTTATCTGGAATCTTAAGGGCAAAGGTTTTATTTATTTATTTATTTTTATTCTTATGTTAATCCCCATACATTACATCATTAGTTTTAGATGTAGTGTTCCATGATTCATTGTTTGTGCATAACACCCAGTGCTCCATGCAGAATGTGCCCTCCTCAATACCCATTACCAGGCTAACCCATCCTCCCACCCACCAAGGGCAAAGGTTTTAAGCAAAGAAATCAAACCTGTAGATTGAAATTAAGATTTAGTCCTCCCAGAATTCAGAAGATGCCTGAAAGTAATAAGCTCAGAAGTCTGCACCAGCTTCTTGGATCTTGTTTGGGAAGGGAGCCTTTGCCAGGATCAGGCTGGGCCCTGAAAAGATGAACAGAGGGACTTAAGGTTTTCACTGCTCTGTGCATATTCCAAACTCTTTTTCACCTGCCATTAAGACCTCATATTAACCCCGTGCAGGTCTCTCGATGGCTATGGCCGGAGCAGGCCCCTGTTCACTCTGGTCCCAGTCCTTTGGATTCTTCACTTACTCATTGAGTGCCTGGTATAAGCCAGACCCTACTGTGGAAAGGCTAACTGGCTAACAGAGTGGTGAACTAAACAGACATAATTCTAGTCTCCGTGGCAGTTAGAGCCCATGGGGAGAGAGAGGTTAATCCATACACACACATACGCACACACATATACACAAATAATTCACTCATTCAATAAATTCATTCATTGAATGTTATATCATATATATGTGTATATATATGTATATACACACAAGATTTTATATATAATATATAAACAAATATTTTATATATATAAACAGAGTTTCTGCTTTGGTCCTTAAGAGTGTAGTGGGGGAAACAGATAATAAGTAAGGGACTGATTAATTAATTCAACAAATAAGTATTGCGTGCCAGCCTTATGAAAAGCACTATTTTCAGCTTTGTGGCTAATGAGCAAAAGATGTAAAGTTTAATGGCGTTTACACGCTAATGAGTGAGACACAGAACGCATACACGTGCAATTATAAGTGCCAGTGAGAAAAGGTAATACTGGACCAAGGAGAGGGGCAGGGGCTGCTATTGTCGATGCGATAGTTAAGAAAGGCCCTCCCTCCTGGGTTGATGACATTTGAGAAAAGATCCAAGGGAAATGAGGAAGCAAACTCTGCAGATATCTGGGGGAATGCCCTCTAGAGAAGGATGTCACCTATGCATCTTGGGAACATCAAGGAAGGTCCACATGAAAACGAGAGCACAGGGAAGAGTGGTGGAAAGTGAATGTGTGAAGTCGGTGGCCAGGGATCAGATGATGTAAGTTATGATGAGGATTTTAGATTGGTTGAAAACATGAAGTACTACGAAGACAATAAAAATGATGTGAGGATGGAAAAGAATGGGGAAGGACCTATTTAGATGGTGTTGGTCAAGGAATGGTCCATGAGAAAGCAAAATTTAAACTGAGTTCTGATGTATTAATACAACTTTTAGGAACAGCATTCTGGATAAAGGGAAGAATACACATAAAAGCAACTTGTACGTGTGCAACTTGGCTACCATCCCGTTAATACATCTAGAACCAAACAAATGATCAAAAAGAAAAATTACCAAGAAGTAGTAACACTCCAAATATGCATCCTAGGATAGAAATTTGGTTTTAAGTATACGAAGAAAATTGATAGATCACCTTTTTCTTCTTATTGCTAGGATAAAATATCATATAATTAGATTTTCAAAGACATACCGAGCACTGTAATTTACACGTCACTATGCATAAATCTACATGTTGAACCCAAGTGGTCATAATATGAGATATAGTCTTTTTTAGTCTAATATTTCATATTAGACAGTGATGTAGAAAATAGTACCTGTAATTTACCCTTGTGGCAGAGAGAAGAGGCTGATAAGGAGATTAGTGTGGAATCTTCTCTGCCAGA